TGTTGAGTGGGGTCAAAATATTCCATTTCTTTCAATATCAAGTTCCAAGACTTCTGTAGGCAGGTGCATGATAAACCAAGGAGATGCAGTTATTCAAACAAGCACAACTTCCTGCAGAATGATATTACTGAAAATGCCCTCTGTAACAAGATGGAACTGTACACAGGCTAGCTGAAGGTCTTCCCCAAAACCTCACCTGCAGCTCAGATGTGAAACTCTTGTCTCTCCTGCTTAGGCATTCAACCAGGCAGTCATCAGTATTTAGTTTAATAGCATTGTGACTTCCAATATACAACAGCAACTTCTGTTTGTCATTCCAAAATGACACTGCATAATGCAAGTATCTTTAAAATCTTCACAGTGAAGAAACAAAAGCGTCAGAGGGTTTTCCCAGACCAGGGCAAGAACATAAAGGCATCCATGCCTAAACAAATTTGTGCCACAGGAAAGTTGCTTTAGATGCCTCCTGCATGAACATCAGCCTAGTCATTTCCTAGCTTGTTATTCACAATATAAGTTGCCTGCAGGTCTCTATAATGGAGAACTGTGTGCGACAAATGAGATGTCAGCTCCACCCACTTATCATTAGTTTTCAGCTCTGCCATCAAACACCCTCAGGCAATCTCATTATTATTATTACTAGGTGTTGTGGATGGAAGGAAGTTGTTTAAAGGCCTGTTTTATGGTGGAAAGGATGTTGGTAAAATATATGGCTTGCAGTATTAAGAATTCTGTCTTCTAATAACAGTCATTTGAATTCAGAAAGCACAGTTAGGTGGAAGGTTAAGTATCCATGCCTCCAGCTTTTGGGATATTTTATGGAAGACAGTTGTGAACAACACCAAAGTATACCCCAAAGTCAGGGTATTGTATTCTATATATAATCAAAAGGTTATGGAACAGTTTCATTGATTTAAGGAAGAATAGCATGGGTTCACATATGGCGCTTTCTACTGGGAAGCAGAACTCCCTTTTACTCCTGGCATTCATTGCAGACTAGTTAGTAATCTTACAGCTTATGGAAACACCTTGATAGAAACTTCGTGCAGGAGTGTCCTAATTATTTTCAACAGTGGAGGAAAATACGTTTTGTTGGTTGGTATTGAGATTATCTTAGACAGCCCATTTTGTGTGCTCTTCCCACAGAGCAAATTGGGCTTCATGAACTACAGTGACAGTTTAAGAATGCAGTCCTATGGGACTGACATTCCTTAAATGGAAAGTTTTGAGATCAGAGGCCTCTTCCCAAGCAAAGCCATGCAGGCAAGCATCAAACTTCTCAGCCTATCTAACTTTCTTATCTTGCGGTGGGTCAGAATAGTGACCAATTGGCTTGTGGATCTAGCAGATCAATGTATCTCCTCTTCCCTCTATCATCTTTTCCTTGTTCCTCTTCTCATTTCAAGGTATCAACAATAATCTCAGAATAGGAGTTGTCATGGAGCTTTCCTGAGTGGCAAGGTGGGGAAATACCCATTTGGGTTGTTGCCCTGTTCTGCACTAGGTCATAGCTATGGGGAGGAGAAGCCGCTATATCATATGGTCCCTGAGATCCCCTCCCAGGTGCCATAAATTGCTCTTTTGATGGCAGGAAAATGGAAATTGCTATTTGCAAATATCTGTTCCTCTTAGGGGAAGGTGCAAAGAAGTATCCTTCTATAAGCCTTGTAGACAGATTCCCATTTTGAACTGAGCTAAGAGCCATTTTCTTCTCCAAGTCTCTAAGTTCTGAAAGATGTAGATGCCATTGGGCATATAATGCATTGCAGAAATATTCATCCCCATGTTGACTTTTCCATGTTGTTACAACATGCAATTGAAATGGATGTAATAAGCATTATTTCCACATGATGTTCACAAGATACTTAGTTCTGTGAATGTGTGAAATATTTTTACTGTAGTACAAAAATTAAGTAAATGATAACAAACTGGCAATTGTTGGGTATATAAGTGTTCTGCCTCTTTGCTGGGACATGACTAAATATGCTCTGGTAAACTGATTCCCTACAGAGTACTGTAGATAGTTGAACTAAGTCTACCTGTGTGCAATTCCTGTGCACCATGACCTCAGATCAAATACACTTGCTTATGGAAGGCCAAGGCCAGTGATGGAGAACCTTTTAGAGACCGAATGCCCAAGCTGCAACCCAAAACCCACTTATTTATTGCAAAGTGCCAACACTGCAATAAAACCTGAATTTGCTGACCACCAGCACAAGAGGGCAACATTTCACTGACCACCAGCTTTTGGCTGGCCCTGAAAAAGGCATCTGAGTGTATTTCATACCTGAGTGTATTTCCTACCTTTCCTACATTTCTGCTAAAATCACAGTCCAAGCAAATCCCTGGCAGCTCAATGACTGGCCATGCAAAAGCTCGGTGAGTCGTGGCTAATTAGTGATGTCGTTGCCAGGCACCCTTAAACTTTCCAAATATGCACATGGCTGCTGGGGCGATCCAGTGGACAGAGAGGGCTCTGCATGCTCCTTTGGACATGCGTGCCATAGGTTTGCCATCACTGGCCTAGGCGTTTGTTAGAGAGCATATCTAAACAAACAGCTTCATCGAGGCCAAGGAGCCATTAAAGCAACTTTGACATAAATTTATGCAAAAAGACCAATCAGGATTCAGTTATAAAAGCATATTCACAAACTATGAACATTCCCCAGTGTTTCATTAAATCCACTATTACAACATGGAAAGAAGATGACTCAACTGATAATATGCCTCTAGAAGCTCATCCACCAAAACTCAGTGGCTTGGTAAGGAAGCCATTAGTTAAAGAAACAACCAAGAAGCCAATCTGAAATAGCTGGAGTGAGTCACAGCGGAGATGGGATGGAACGACTATTACTTTGCTCTGCAAAGCTGTGCTTTATGGGAAAGTGGCTAGAAGAAAGCCATTGCTGAAACACACACAACATCAAAGCCTGTACAGAAGTTACAGAAAGGCATGTGGGAAACACGGCGAATGAGGAAAATGGATTCGATGAATCTAAAACTTTTGGCCTTGATGCAAAATGCTATGTGTGGTGCAAAGCCAACAGGGCTCAGTGCCCCAAGAAAACCATCCCTATGTTAAAGGATGATGGTGAGAACAACATGCAGTGGGGATGCCAAACTAACACTGGAATGGTGTAATTGCAAAAACCTGAAAGAACCTTGGAAAGTCAGGTGAAATTCAGTGGCAAGATTTGAAAGCTGCTGATCAGCAATGGTTTCCAGCCTGCTTGATAGAGCTGAAGCACTTTTATCAGGAAGAATGGACGAGCACTGCAAGATCTGGATGTGCAAAGCCAACAGAAACTTAACTAGTTTGCAGCTGTAATCATTGCCAACAGTGTTTCTACCAAGTATTGACTTAAGCAACCAGCAAGTACCAGTTTGTTTGTTTGTTTGTTTGTTTGTTTAGTTTTTGTATGCCGTTCCATCACTTAACGCCTCGGACGGCTTTACATAAATAACTTAAAGTTATTTAAAGTTTACTTAACTTTTGTACTACAATAAAAATATTTCGCACCTTCACAGTTTTGAGTGTCTCGTGGTAACAATGCTGTTAAACGCATTGAAGTTTGCAACACAACAAAAGTCAAAGCAAGGGGAAAAGTCAAAGCAAGGGGTGAATACTTACTTCTAATTTACTTTTAAAAAAAATATTTAGTAGTAGCAAGGTTGCCTTACTGGCTAATGCAGCAACATAATCTAATTAATTAATTAATTATTGGTGCTCATGATAGTCTGTTCCTAGTATTAGTTCTAGAGCCTCGTATTGTCACTCACGATGATTCTGTGGAGGAGTCTTCCCCTTTAAAGGTTACTAGTTTGCTTGTTGACACCACTGTAGTACATCCTTTTTATATACTACATTTTAAAGGTATATATCTTATCTGTAAAGTGTGAATTTTCAAACAATTATTTGAAAATAATTCAACAGATAAGATTCTGTTGTTTATACTTGGTGACCAGCCTAATCTCTTGCTGTATGATGTGTGAAATAGCCCCAATTACTACATGCAGGAATAGAGTACCACTTTTGAAGTATTATTTTGATAATCTTCATAAATGCACATTGCTAAAATCCTTTGCTTAAGCACCAATTGCATATACTCTGATGAGTACTCATTTCTCAGTTATAACTGGGGCCAATGTTCTTCAGTAGCTAAAGGGAGAGCTGTGTAAAAAGGAGGTTTCTGCATGAAAGCCCATATTCACCATACACCTATCAAATGAGTAGAAGTTTCTTTTGAAAGCAATGTTGACTCAGTTGCTTGTATTTAAATACATTAGTTGTAAATATCTTTATTAGCCTATCACTATAAAATCTGTTACATATGTGCCTAATAAAAATGTGTAGCTGTCTCAAGAGATTGCCCTGTACACAACTTGAAATTCGTTTCAAGAGAATTTATGTGAAAATCAATCTGGAATGTTCAGTTACATAAATTAGTGATGACAGTTTTTTTCTGTGTAAAACATTTACGAGTAGTCTAGAAGACCATGACATACAGACTTTTATGTATAATTTTAAAAATCATATTCTGCTGTTTACTGGGAACCATGTGTTCACATGTCAGTTTTTATTAAAATATTTCTATTTCAGTCCAGGATATACTGCCTTGTTGGCTAAGAAAGGGGTTCAGATGATTGTCTGTGAAGGGCAGTGTCTACTTCGTAGATAGCATTCGACTGGTGTTTCTGTGAAAAGTATGCATGAAGGCAGGGCATGAATTTTTCTATTTATAAAGAATAAAGATATGTGCCAAATTGAAAACTCATGTATCTCGTGTTCATACTGTATAGATTTTGAATTCATGCACATCAATTGAATGCATTTGCAGCACACTCACAATAACCATTGACTTAAAATGACTGTGTAAGGCCAAACAGACACTATTTTTACTGTACACTCCTCTTTCCTTACCTCAGTGTTGCAGGTTGCTTGGCTTTTCAACTTATTTCATGCCATTACATTTACAAAGTGAAGCCTGGAAGCATTCATTGTTCAATATGTTAAATGATGTCCAAGGACTACAGCATCAATGAATAGTCTTGTATACATTATAACTTAGTCTGAAATATATAGCTTTCAAGAGGACAGATCTTGTGGTGGGTGATTGAATCTGATGGAGAAAATGAAGAATGTTAATTAGAATAAACATGGAATCAAAAGATTGTTATACTTGAAGGTATCTTATTTGCGCTAATGTTACAAGCAGCCCTGCTGTCAAGTCCAACCCAGTCCTGCATTGTTCAGTCCAGAAAAAGCAGACGATGCTTAAGCACAAATCAAACAAAGTGCAGTTATGTCATTGCCGTGTCCAACCTGCCCTGTTGATGTTCAGTGCAGTACAGAGTTCAAAATATATAAGGTTGACAGGAGCCTGATTTTAACAGGGTAAAAAAAAAAAAAAAAAAAAAAAGACCCGTTGGAGAGAACCTCCCCATGCCCCAAACTTTCCAGTAGAATTAGAATGGGAGGGGATGTGATCTCAGCACACAGGATGGGAAGTTCAAGCAGAGGTTAAACACATGTGGGCCCCTTGCGACCCTCAGGAATCACTGGTGTAGGTGAAACTAGCTTTGTGAATCAGCTCTAAGTAAAAGTTGCACATGCAGGATTCAGTTAACATAGGAGTGGACCAAGGAGATTTGTGCTTATTTAAAGTGTTAGTGCAAACACAGCTGTAGCATTATGGAAAAAGTAAACGTGTTCTCTTACCTAGAATCCATTTTTCTGATAAGCATTGTATGTCCGTGTGTTTTCCAACCTTGCATTTTCCAATACAGATTTTAGCTTGACGGAGTGTCTTACACACTTTACCTCCAAAAAGCTGCACCAATTCAGACAGCTTCTCACAGGGTGGTTGACTAAAACATGATATGAACATGATAGGTTGATCTGAAAAGAGTTTTAGATGACCTTTTCTATTTGGAAGGTTGAGTTGAAATCGGCAGATCTGTTTTTAAGAGAAAAAACACTGAATGTTTTAATGTCTACACCAGTATGTAATCTTTTCTTTTAGTAAATATATTGCTGCATATGAAAAGTGTATACGAGTATGAAAACTAATATTTCATACTCTTCAGTTTAAAATTAACCAAGGATTAACTATTATGAAGTCCCTGATTTAACTGCAAAACAAATATGCATTCCTTTAATTTAGGCTATATAATTTTCAAAAACCTTGATATTCAGGGAATTATTTTTCTATTTTGTACACTTAGATATTTAACTAATGCAAATTGTCTTCTTTTTCTGAAAATTTTAATATACATTGCTATATTAATGTTAATATAGTGACTCAATTTCATCTCTGCAAAATCAACAAATATAATATTCAAGAAAGTGCTGTTAAAAACACTGATGTTGCAATGTGGTAGTCTAATATTTCTTTAGTACAGTTTCCAACTGGAACAAGCAGAAAATGAGTCAAGCTTCCTCAGGGGTAAAAAGCCTTTTGTTTTAATTGAAGATCTTGAGGGCATATTCACATTCCATTTCTGCTCAGCAAATATAAGGGCTATAAATATGATATGCACTGGAACTTAAGGACTGTATTATATTTCTAGTGCAGGAAAATTGGTATTACTCAGTGAATCTCCCTTTAAAACTAATGCTGTGTATGTGTGAGTGCAAGCTTGCATGTGTGCACGTGAGTGCTTGCATGGGTAATGCACTTAGGCAGGAACAGAGAGAGAGTGTTTAGTTCTTCTGGCCCCGTATAGATCACCCACAAAGGCAATGTTTATCCATTTCTGATCTATACTGATCCCCAAAGTCAGATGTTTCAGAGTCAGAGGTTACCCAGAGAAAATAATTCTATCACTAAACAATAAAGTTCTGGTCAAGAGATGAACAATGTGTTAAAGACTAAAATGAAGGCACCCAGAGAGGAAGCCTTTTCTAGTCTCACTTTTGATATCACCAGAGCCTTAAAAAAAGATTATTTATCAGTACGGGCTTCTGGCAACCCATAAGTCTGGTGTAAAGACAAAGAGATCATTGCTTACGAAAGGACTAGAATATCAAAGATTGGGTAATCTGGAGTGAAACATCTCCCCAGAGGTTCTCCACTGACTGATAATAGACTCATTTTCATCAGGCTATTATCCACACAGAAGTTGTGTGTACTGCAGAGAAACCATAAAGGGTCTGTATTTTACAAATCCAGTGATACACTGATCAAAACCAATGTAATAGCAGCTGTATGGTCTATATTATTTAATGTATATGTAATTATTCACAAAAGTATACAACTGCTAAGGAACTGCATTACAAACAAAAAAGCAACATATCCAACAACTGTATTGCTGTACCTATGGTGGCACAGTTCTCATATCTGCATCATAAACCAAGCCGAGTTCACATTTGGAGTAGCTGAAATAGTTGGGCACATCTTATCATTGTTTACTGATGTGCAAAGCAGCAGAATGGACATTAAGATTAAATACCACATACCAGCTAGTCTTAACAAAGGCTTCTTGGGTTGAATCAGATTTACTCTGGAACTGCACTTATGGAAGTGGACCTCCCTACCCCCTCCCTCCTGCAGCAGGCCTTCCAGCCCCATGAAAATGCTTTTTTTTTTTAACACAAAATATACTTTTAGGAACATAAATCCAGGTAAGAATGATAATTCTAACAGAATATAAAAGTAAAGTTTGAACTTGCAAGACCATTGCTCCTTAAACCAGAGCATACTTTATTGAATGGCTGCACAATCTGGGGTTCAGGGTTCCCACAGATCTCAAGTCTTTACTTTCAAAGCAGCATTGTCATCCTGCCAAATATGGAATCCCCCACACTTATTCCTAACCATTCCTCTCCACTGCTTCCCCAAGACACCTTCTTTCAGATAGCACTGCTAGCAGTGAAGAAAGAATGTAACAACTTTTATTTATTTAAAGTTTTTCTATGCTGTCCCATTACTAAAAAGTTTCTGGACGGCTTACGAAGGACAAAAAACCATAACAACACAAAACACACTGCATCCAATAAATAATGGTAAAAACAAGAATAAAACCAAATAATTATTAAAATGCCAGGAAAATAAAAAGGTCTTTTCCAAGTGATCTGCACATAAAATATTAAAACCCATTAAAATAAAAGCTACTAATCACAAAGCAAGCAAGCAAACCAGCCAACCAGTATCGTGTTCAATTGTGTGTGTGTGTGTTTGCTTCTGTATATCTGTCTGCCTGTGTACACAGGTATTATATGTATATATCTGGTTCCCAAAGCTCAAGCCAATGTCATTTTGAGGACAAACAAGTTTTTTATCTATTTTAGTGAGTAACTGCTGAGAGTAGGGAAAGAAACCCTATGTGTCAAGAAGTCTTTCTTTAGCAAATCTGTCATTTTGTCTTCATTCTTCCCAGGATGATATAGACCAGGGTGCCTGCCCACCCGAGTTTCCAATCTGGTCTTCTGGGATTTATTTGATGGTCCCCTTTCCCCCAACCACCGATCATTTTGTGGTTTTCTCACTTTTGCACAGTTCCCTCTTATTTTAAAGACTGAAATATCTTCCCTATGGCTTAGGTATTTCCAGAACTGCTAAACAATAAATATGATGGTGTTTTGGCACTCAAAAGTACATTCTTCAACAGCTTATTCAAAATGGATCTTGGTTTGGGGTAAAAGAACCCTGATATAGGTGGCAAGTGTAGAATGCTATAAGATTTTTATTATTGTATTATTTTATTGATATCTTGCCTTTTTTTCCTTTCAAGAAACTCAAGGTGGCTTACGTAATTCTTCTCCTCCCCCTCTTTTCAATGTTATCCTCACAACACCAACCTTTCTAAGGTGTCATCTAACTCTGCTGGAGAGGGGAAAGTTGTGGGGACATGAGCTCCTGATAAAGTGATTTTTTCCCCTTAGGCCCAGGTGATCAGAAAAGATTCCTGTGGAGAAATGGGTGGACCTTTTCCAGGGTGTGTGGAAAGTGGATGAAGGCCACATGTGGTCCATGGATAGCTCAACTGGAATTTTCAGCTATATGTACCACGGTCAGTGCTAAAAGGATTCCCTTAACCAGGAAATGATATAGAGAGAATCTTAGGTTCAAATCCCTTTCCAGCATAAATTTCACTGGGTGACCTTGGGACAGCCACTGCTTGTTTTCAATCTTAACCAGCTTCCCAGGTTTGTCGTGAGGATAAAGAAAGAAGACAAGATAGAAATGAGTAAAATGGGAATACTCAATAGTATTAACCATGGTTAGTGCTAGCACATTTATAGCAATACCTTATGGGCAAAGACTGGAAAGGGGCCTGAAGCTCATGCAAGGAGATGACAGAGAAAACATAAGCCTGATTCATAGGAATGGTTATGAAATCAGTAAAGTGAGATATGTACTTGATAGTGTCTTTAGTTACTTGCAGAATATGTATTCATTATGAACACACAAAATGATTTAATTAAATAGTTAAAATGTTCAAGTTAACATGGATATTTTGCTGAATGTTTAAAATGTTAGAACCACTTTCTGTCATATACGATGTAAACTTTTGGATTACTCAAAATAGCATTTCTTTTCCATTGGAGACGTCTTGCTAATCTTCCGTGCTGCCTATTTAGGCTAATCAGCAAAATCCAAAAGAAGAAAAACAATCTGCAAGAGACATTAATCTAGCATTACTTTATCTAAAATTAATAATCAAACCAGATTTCAAGAGACTTATGCTAAAATTGTCCCGTCGCTTTTGCTAGCCTGGAGCTCTAAAGTTTCCAATCTGAAGCTGATTAGAACTGACAAACTGTTTATGTTAAAACCCAGCAAGAGCCTGAGTTTGTTAGAAGGAACATATCTACAATTTAACTTGATTGTAATCCTGCTGTTTTACACATTTTGGAAGACATGATTTAAAAGATCAGTTGTATTCCTGCATGTTCAACATTGTTCCTAAAAGCCTTTATTTGTTGCGGTTGTAAAAGAAAGTCATTCTATTTTCACAGAGGGTCCTTAGACTAGAAATGTGCTTCAGCTGACAAGAAAATGAAATGAGGAAAAAAATGCTTCTATTTGATGTATTTCACAATAAAAACCTAACATTAGGAAATGCTAAAATTAAAAGTTTTACAACCATGCTGTCAAGCTGTGCAATACATTCAAATATTTATATGTGGTAATGGTAGAATTATTAAAAGTGGTATTACAGAACAAACCTAAGGAGTTAGTTGCCCATTATCCTTTGAAAGCACAGTTGTCCCTAAATAAGCATAGATTATTTCTTCAGTTTATATAGCAATTATTCAAATATAAGCGTATACAAAATGTATAGTGCCAAGGAAGGCTATTTTAAAGCCTGGTTACTGAAGGTGTATATGTATGGGACCATTTTCAGAGGGAGTCACTGCTGAGGAGGGATAATGCTATGCTGCCTTCATAAAAGCATTTTTCTACTGCTCCAGTCAGTTGTTTTTTGTTTTTTTTTAAATCAACTTGGTGCCAACAGAGGCTTTTAAATCACATAACTGGAGGGAAGGGGGGCATGTTCAGGAGGGGAGATTGTATGAGCATGTGTCTGTGGGATTATGTTGTGTGCCTGCATGCGCAAGTGTGTGCATGGGGTCTGAAGAATCAACATTGGGGGCCACATGGAAGTAGCTGTGCCCACTTTGGGTGAAGGCCAACTAGTTTGCCATAAGGCTACACCCACTGATTGCCCAGTACAATTCTGGCCTTGATCCAACACAGTTCCTTCACACTGTCTTGTAGGCTGTTTTCACATATAGATGATTAAAGTGCTGGCTGGAGCATACGGGACTTTTTTCTGTCTAAACAGGCACAGGACTGCACCCTGAGAAAAAGAGCGCTACCATATTTGTATATTTTCAGATTGCCAGTCGAAGATTGATTCATGTGCTTGAGCCGACAAGAAAAAAATGAGAAAATATTTCTATTTTATATGTTTTTCAATAAAAACCTAAAATCAGGAAATGCTAAAATTA